GCCCCGTGGGGGCCAGGCAGCCCAGCCGCTGCCGGGGGGTGAGGGAGGCGTTGCGACACCTGGGGTCGTTGGGCCGGCTTGGCTGCGGGGACGCTATGGCTTTGGGGAGTTGCAGCCTTCCAAGTGGCAGTGAGCAAAGTCGTGCTTGCCAACCCCTGCTCAGGTGATTGCGTGATGAAGCCGTAATCCCTTTGGCTGGGGCAAGGAGTTCTGCGCTTCGGATGCCAGCCTCAGTCCTGCCCTGGTGTTCCTGGGTGCTGGCAGTCTGCGCGAGCCGCTCGCAGCACACGTACCAGCGAGCCTGGGCTGGCAAAGCTGGCTGTGCTTGCGAAGAAATCTGCCTGATAAGCTGCTGTAAAACCTTTGATGCTTCACATAAAAGCCCTCCATGCGTATGGCTGTGAGGGTGCGGGCATATTAAAAAGACTACATGGCATCAGAAGGGATCTGAGGTCTTGCGTGTGCCAAAGGTACCCTTGGTTAGTTCACCTGTAAGTAGATCCCTGCTCGCTTTGGTCGAGGAACCAAAATCAGCCAAGCGCACTGGCTAATTTAATTGTCCGTATGGATATGCTTGGCGACAGTAGCTGGTGTAATTAGCAGTACTAATGTAGTGAGCCAGTGAGAGTGGAGACTCTCGGCCCACTCGAAGCTGGGTTAGACGAGAGACCTGTCAGTGGAAATGAAGTGTCTTGTTGAAGGATGCGGAGTTGGTGCTCTGACAGAGCCTCCTGTGGTCTCTGTGCCTAAACCAACCCCGCTTCTCTGAGAGGAAGTCAGTACTTCCCTGGTATCTGATGTGCCTCTGTCCTGTGCAAGCCTAATACGTGATTATTTTACTTCATACATTACTGATACAAGTTCTAAGCTGGGTATGGGTCAAATCGTGTATCATACTTTGAAGGCAGTTGTTTCACTTGTCTTTTCTGTAGAGATTGGTTGTAACATCCTTATCTATTCCAGAGATACCAATCTCCCTTCATGCAAATGGAGGACATTACATTAAGTGCATTAAGTTAGTGTCATCAAGTTAAATTCAGCAACTGCATTTATTTTAAAGATTTGTTGCTTCTGGTTTAGACCCAGCAAAGAACTTCTTTCCAGAAACTTGCTGGCTTTTTGATGCATGTGACATTTAATAACACTTCCTCTCCCCATCCTTTCCCCCCCCCCCCAAAAAAAAAAAAAACCCCAAAACCAAACCTCTGTTTTTGCTTATATCTGTAGTAGCTTTGTAGCTGTGAGAGGCTACTACAGGAGATGTCAATATTGGCTCTAGAAAAATGTTGCTGTACTATTTTGATGTTTCTTCCATTTCTTACTGGTGTTGCTGCCTTTCACATGTGCCAAAACTTCTGCACATATTTTGTGCCATTTTTAAGAGAATGAAGAACAGAAAACATTCACTCTGACTCCTCCTCTTCAGAAAGAACTCATTTCCCTACCCACCGTGGTTTTGATGAATGTTTTTCTGTTATGGGAATAGTTTTAAGATGTCCTACTGTTTCTACCAGAAAACTTACTGAAATAACTTCCTCTGTTCTAGCAGCGGCCTGTCCCTTTTTGGGGCTGGCCTTGTTACCCCACGTACAAAACCTGAGATGCATGACAACACATGTATGTCCACAAGCTAAATTTCATGACCTTTGCTCAGAGCAGCAGATATCTAAGTAATTTATCTCTTGGCACTTGTCAAATGTTATTACCTGTACACATAGATAGCAATGCTAACTAGGAGATGTGATCAAACTGGGCTCGTAGTGCTAAAGGTTGAAGTGTAAGCTCTGAATAGAGATGAAAGCAGCTGTGAAGTTAAGCGCATACCTGAGATGGTATGATTCAAGCCCATGATGTTCTCTTCACCTCCCTGCATGAAGCAAAGGAAGCTGACAGCTTTGCAATGCATTCCCAAACGAAACGCTCTGTTGCATTGCGAAAGCAATAATAATACCTCAATAATGGTGGTATTGGTAGCTGAAAAGCTACTAGTGGCAGCCAGTGGTTTACCTGGTGTGTTCTGGAGATGTATAAGCGTGTGTGTGTGTGTGTATATATATATATATATATAGCTTACAGTTCTGAAGCTCCCTATGCCGGCAGTTTTTCAGCAGGGTTGAGACTGTGACTTGGTCTGCATACGATTTCTTGAGGACAAGAAGTGCCTACAAAGCAGGAAAAAAAAAAAGTCACGGTCCTAAAAGGAGAATTTTTCCTGATGTAAAGTACTAGTTTGTGAGCACTAAAGTTGTTTGACCAAGCTGTAAGTTTTGATTTATAGTTGTCGTGCATATCTGCTTAAGATACTCAAGGGGCAGCTGTCACCCTTTTTGATTCTATTTTTTGAGCCCACATTCTGTCAGAGCAGAGGTGGAAACCTGTGATGTGAGGGGTGGGGAGTTTCTAAAGCAGATGAGGGCAGGTGTTTCCTGCCTCTGCCAAATGGTAAATCAATTGTGTGTTGCCTTCTGGAGGAGAGTAGGAGCAACCTGGAGGATGATACAGAAACAGGACAAATAGGCCAGGTGAGCAGATGTAAGCCTATTTTTTTTTTTAGCCACTCAGAAGCAGGCTAGAGGAAAATATTTAGAATGGATTTGAAAATGCCTTTCAATTTTGAAGTATTAATGTTTGCATTTTCTCTCTTTATGGTTTATTCTATCTTGCAAATGTTTTCTTTTATCAGGTGTCTGAAGAAATAGCCTCAAGATGAACTTCTTCCTGGAAACATTAACAGTCTTTGGACTTCTCGTTTATTATTTGCTGGAGTCGCTGGTGTTCTTGATTGTGCCTAAGCGGAAGAAGAATGTTAGTGGTGAAATAGTACTAATAACAGGAGCGGGAAATGGCATTGGAAGACTCCTATCTTTAAAGTTTGCCAGCCTTGGAGCCACAGTGGTTCTCTGGGACATAAATCAAGAGGGGCTCAAGGAGACGAGTAGACTGGCCAGGGAAAATGGAGCAGTGAGAGTACACTGTTATGTCTGTGACTGTAGCAAAAGGCAGGATGTCTACAGAGTAGCCGATCAGGTAAAGTATCTTATTTGCGGCTTTGACGCTGTTATAAGATGTGTGCCTGTATGTGGGTCTGCTGTATGATAAGGTTTAGTGACTTCAAAGCAAGAGATTAAAGTTAATTCATTCAGAATGTATTGCACATGCTACCTGTTTCAAGAATACTGTTTTCTGGAGTTGGCTCGTGTACCTCTGTTCCTTTAAAAATGAAAAAAGCCGGTTCTCTCTTTCAGTAGCTAATTTCAACTGGGCAGCTTCTCATTCATTCAGTTACTGAGTGAGTACTTCCTGGTGAAGTGCAGAAAATCAATTTATTGTAGCTAAAGCAGTATTTCAAGTTCTGGCAGCCTTTTACCAAAAGTAAACCCTAAAGACCATACATTGTAAATAGGATTAACTGCTTAGGCAATCTTCAAATAATTTTGTGGCTATGAATAGACTTTTACAGACTTGCTTTATCAGAATTAGGAAATATTTTAGACTTCAGGGTACATTTATTACTTTCCTTTCTGAAGAGCTTTGTAAATACAGTATGTGGTTAGATATTTTGGGCGGACTAGTAGAATTGCCAAAAGCTAAAATTGGTTAACAGTTTCCATTGTAACAACCTGTCCTCATTTGCTTAAAATGTTGCTAAACTTAACTGTTGGACTAGAAAGTTTCCACAGTGAGTGTCTGCCTGAGGATGAATTCCTAAAAAAAAAGTTCAGCTGTCTTCAGGAACATTTGTTGGCTGAAAGAATGTTTGTCTTTTGGTGCTGTTTAAGAAGCTCTAGCCTTCTGCATTTTTCTATCTGTGCAAAAATGACTAGAACAAACTTTCTGATAAGTGAAGCTTGTGCATGACTTGCAGCTTGTTAGAGGCCAGTACTACAGGTTTTGTAGTCTCGTAATGCTGACCACCCTTGGTCACCCTTGCAGCCCTGCTATGCCACATCCCCACAGACCAGTTGCATGTGTCTCACCGCAGGCCCGTAACTCTGCTTTCCGTTGAACTGGGAGGAGTGGAGGAAGAGGGAGTATTGTAGTGTGAAGGACACTGGAATGACTAAGATGGAAACTAACCTTCAGTTCTGAGGACTCAAGGGCTAGCACTTCAGTCCCACAGAGAAAAGCAGTAGCAGAGCCTTTCAGTCCCACAGAGAAAAGCAGTAGCAGAGCCTTTCTGGCCAAATATAAAAAGGAGAAGAGGGTGTAGATATGTCTGTGATGCAGGTTAGGGATGGTAAAGACCGAGGCAAGGCAGGAGCGAAGAAGTGGTAAGAGGGTCTCAGTGTGCGATTCCTCACTTAGAATCGTCTGTCAGCAGTTTGCTAACAGCTGATCCACAGAAGAAAATACCCTACTACTGTTATTTCAGAAATGTCATGTCCTGCTGACAACTTCCCTACCTTATTAGTGACAAAAAGTCTTTAGTGTGTGTTAGTGCTTGGTGCCACTGCTTACTCCAATGTGGTGTAGTAGACTTTGGCTCTTAGTGTGCAGCATCAGCTTTTGCAAGATAAGGTAGCACAATTCCAGGTTTTGTTTTCTGCATACCCCACCCCCGGTGATTCAGCTTCACGCGGTGACTTGAAGTTTTGCAAGACTAGAGAACTAAATTCATGCAGGTGGGGCAGGATATATTGAAAAGCTTGTGACCAATAAAACAATCTCAAAGCCAAAATTAAATGTACCCTTAAATACCTGCTTCTGGTGCTTAATCAGCCACACAGAGAGACCAGCAAAAAGTCACCTCAGTAAGAAGAAAACCAAAAAGCCCTGCACATGTGGTGTCCTTGTTCCTGTCTGGTACAAACAGGATGAAGGACAGCTTTTGGCTATCAAGAGCTATAGCTTAAAATTTATTTCTAATGTCCCTGTTCCAGAAGTACCCAACCTCAAAAGGAATGTGGCCTTTTCTGACCTACCCTTCCCTCCCTTGAGTTCAGCTAAATTTTAAGAATCTAGGGCTTTGAGAGAGGTAACTCTGGTTTTTGATCCTCCTACTTGTGACCAAACAGAAGCCTTTTCCTCGTTATGTTACAAAATTGCATCTGGGCTCACATTTACTTCCAAGATTTCTCTTGCATGGTACTTTCTTGCTTATCCACTGTTTTTTCTTGCTTGTTAGTCAAGATGACGGTTTGCAGCCAGTTTTCCACTTTTCTGAGAATCATCTTTCCTGAGCAGAGGAGCAACAGCAGAAGCACACTTCTTGGTGGTATATAATGCTGCCTATAAAACATCCAGTGCTTTCTCTACCTCTTGTAGGCAGTTACAAAGGGGTTTGTGATTCTCAGAAAGCAGACACTTTGGGATGCTGTTTGGGGGTCGTGGGAATTGCTCATTACTAAACTTCAATATAAAAGCAAAAATATAAATACAGAAACAATCGGGAAATAAAGTTTATACCTGAAAAAGATGTTTAACCAGATCAGCTGTTTGCATAATGCTTGCCTTACCCATGCCTAAATCAAACACCTGGAACATACTCTCCTGCACTGCACAAATGGAGAGGTTTA